ATTACATTTTGTTTATTAGTTGATAACAGTCTGTACTAACGTCAAAAAAATGCTTTGTTTGCCAAGAGAAAATTCCAATATTCAAATAAAACTTTAATTGAAAAAAATACCCGGCGAAGTTTTAAAAATCAAAGATTTCTGTACATTTTATTTCTCATTTATATCTTGAAAATGTGTGGATAAAGTTTCAAATTATAATATTTAGTAAAAAATATTTATGATTAATTAGACAAAAAAGCGTTGTATTAGAGAACGTATTTGAGTCTGATTTTAAAAAATTTTTCTTATACTGTAAACACCCAATTGGTACATTCAAGTGCCTAAACTATTCTGTAAACAGTGACTTTTCTTTTCTGTCATTTTTTTCAGATCCAAACGGTAATTTAAGTTATATCGCGTTTAATTTCTGGAAATACGTGAGTTTCTATTAGGATCGTATTTTTGTTCTTAGGTACTCTAGCTTCATGAAATCTGAACTCAGTTATTATAACGTTAAAATTAAGTAGTTCATACAGTTTTATCAATATCTGAACCATAACTATGTTACTGATAGCACTACCTCAACTTGTAGAGATAGTTATTCGTCATCCGAAAAATAAAGATTTTATGTAGCCTGGCTGTAAGGCTCTGAAAAATTTGTCAACTAAAAAAACGTGCAAAAAGGCTAAACTATTTATATTGTTACAAATAACAAAATACGTTATCGATTTTATAATAAATATAACCATAGTTGTTATGTTTTGTTGTATAAGAATTAGAAAAATACTACTGTATAAACTTGATAGTAGGACGTAAATCTTGTGAACGTATGTGTAGTTTAGATTAAAATTTTGATGCATACTATGTATTTATTTTTGAATTTTATAAATTGATGCATCATAAATGTAACATAACCTTCTTCAAGACTCAGCAAAACTGTATTTTGTTAACGTTTCCTTACAAATTTATTAAATATTATTAGACCGGAAGTTTGGAATTCATCGCTCAACTGAGCAAAAAGCTTCATTACAGTTTGCAACAAACTAGTAATTGAGAAAAAATTTATGACTTTTTCGAGTCAAGCTAATAAATAAAAAGGTTCACAAGTGTTGTTCGATTAAAACTGCAGTTCGATTAAAAAAATATAGAGTTTTCAAATTTACTGTAAATCTTTAATCCCTAAGATTCAAAAGTGAGTATCTAATTAACAATCAGTGATCAAAAAATTCCCATACATCAATTTTCATCAATACAAGCTAAGTTTTTAAAACCCTCTTTACAATCTTTGATTTTGGAATATAGACACCAGGTTTAGTATCAGCCATCAAGAAAAGATTTAGTGCAATAGGAATTTATGTGGCTAACTATGATATGATGAAGGAAATTATGGTAATGATGCTCTATTTCTAATTTTTGATCGTTACTTCCCACTTTTGCTGAAGACTCTCGAATCTGTAGGTTTTTGCTTTTTTTTTTTTTTTTTGGTAACTTCAATCCACTACACCGTCCCAGCATAGAGTTAATTCCTGAAGAGCTTGTCAAGTACAAAAGAATAAGCACACAGGCGTTATTAAATTATAACAACAAATCCTTACTGAGATACAGGGACTTGACAATTGATTTGAAGATGACATCTTTAAAAAATTAATAATTTGACTAAGCCATGCAACTATTAAACATTGTATAAAAATGTTGAAAACACTAAATAATGTTTGAGGTATGCCAACATTCTTTTCATAAATAATGTAAGTTAATTGAAAAAATACCCTATTGTAACGTAATTAAAGTGAAATAATGATCCATACAAGTAATCGTTAACGAACAAGAACTCATTAAATACACCCATAAAAGTAAAAGAAAAATAGGTAAATCTACTAAGGAAACATAAAACTTGGCCAGTTATTAAAATTGTAATGAAATTACACATATCATAGATTCTAATCGAGCAACGACGAAAATTTTTGAAACATCTTACCATATTTAACGGAGACAAATACAAAAAATCAAACTAAAGTTACCTTAATATAAAAAATTTGTTAATAGCTAACTACCGATCTCTGTGAATCAGTAAAAAAAATGCATATGGTATTTAATTTACGTATTGTCAGTTTTCACACGTAACGGTAGCCCAGATGGCATATTGATAAGTTTTGGGTTGTAAATCATAGAAAAATAACTTAATACAGAAAAATGTTTACCAAAAAATACCGGGCCCAGAGTGATTTACTGGGCGCAAAGTGTGCACACGGGCGCAAAATTTCACTTTCCGCCCTTGGTAAGAAAAACATTATATGCGACTCGGGCACCAACATACAACAATCGCGCCCTTCGGGCGCTCATATTTGTACTTAGTGCCCTAGTGACGTAATGTACCAATATTTATTTTTATATATGTATGTATATACGATGCATTTGTTAATGTTTGGTTTAGTTATAGAATTATTGATAGAAATTTCTCATGTCATTTGTAATCTTTATCTAATGCAATAAAATACAAACAAGTGGTGATGTCTGAAAACCCACAAAATAATACGGGCATGCCACGTAAGAAACTAATGAATTACATTAAGCTGCTACACGTATTAATTACGTATATATGTGTTGAACAACGTGCACGTGTCACATTTATACTTTTGAATTTGTATCCCCATTTTTAAGATCTTAAACATTATTATCATGAAATAAGATACAGTTTCTAAAAGTAGATTTATGATTTGTGACTTAATTTAAAAAAATTAATGTTAAATTCATAATGACTAGTGTTAAAAATGTTGAAATCAATTGTAATTTTTTAAATTTAGTAATCAAAGAACGCCTGATTAAGAAGAAAGTATCAACATATATTATTATTTTTCCAAGCAACACAATATTAAAAATCGTTATATTGTTGTACAACATGACTAGAAAAAATTGTTTTCCTATCAATAGGTCTTTTTTAATAGTAGTTTTCCTACGAGTTTGAAAAGTCTCTGTTTGCGAACCGAGAGGTTTGCGGCCCGAGCCGAAGGCGAGGGACGTAACGAGGTTCGTAAAGGAGACTTTTCGAACGAGTTCCGGAAAACTGCTTTTTCGCCCGAGGAAGTACCAGCCTCCCAAAACCACCCGAGGGCGGAAAAACTGTTATTTAATCCAGTTTACGTTGAAAACTATCAGTTTTATATTTTGTTCATTTTTTTATTTACTTTCATTGTACATGGCACTCTGTGAAAGTAATAAGTTAGCTAAGCCTCTTTACCCAACTAAGTATACAAAATTTTTTCTTCGTTTATTTTACTACAATTCATACCTTGTTTTTCTGTTTGGCCCAGAAGTACATCTATTGGGTGAGAGAAAGCTGAAAAGAACGACTATAGAATAATTTCCGGAAAAACTACCTCTGAAGTAACTTATCGAAAATAATTATTCCATTACACAACTCCATAAAAAAAATTGGCATTCAGACTAGACTGCATTTTACTTATGTATTTTTGCCCGCTGAATCTGAATATGGCTTGAGAATAGATTTATCGCCCCTTAATTTACCCTTAGATGCCAAAAAGTCTCTAGAATCAAGAAAAATTGACTCTTAAAGCTTATCTTAAAAAAAAAAAAAAAATACAACAGACTATATTTTACTATTTTTGCGCATGTTTGTACATTTAGTTGAATTGTAATTTTAGAGTGAACCGAGATTTTTTTTAGTTTTCCCCTAAATTCCAAAAAATCCCTGGTACCAAGTAAAATTGGTTTTATTTATCGTATTTAAAAAAAAAAAAAAAAAACCTCAATGGACTATATTTCTCAACATTCGCATTATATGTAGTGTTTGCCTCAAATTGTTATTTTACGTTAAAATCAACTTTTTAAAGTGCTTCCCCAGAAGCTTAAAAGTCCTTAGAATCCATTAGAATCAGCTTTTTTAACATATCTTAGAAATAACTACATCAGATCACATTTCACTACTTTTACGTATATTTAGTTGTGAAATTGAATTCTGGTTTTGGAATATTTCTTGCGTTTTAAAGTCTTTCTCCAGAAGCCAAGAAGGCCGTAGCATCAAGAAAAATTAGAATTTTCAGCAAATCTACTAAAAAAATTTCCAAAGGACTATATTTCACTACTTGTACCTATACATAAATGCTGAATTTAAATCTGGTTACAGATTTATTCGGGCATTTTTATATTTTTTTCGTGGAATCCCAAAAGTCTCTAGAATTAAGCGGAATCAACTGTAGTGATTTATTTTTACAAAATTGTACATGTATTGGACAAAACTGTGTTACGTCTGCGTATTTTAGGCTCTTAATTTGAATCATTCTTTAATCTGACGTACATTAGTCTTACTCAAGCTAAAAAGTACTTAGAAACGATCTAAATGTGCTATTCTAGTTTAACAATCACTCATCGGTAGCTGTATAAACACTGTTGGGAAAAAGAAGGATCTTTATTTAGAGTCCCCACCCGGCAGTTAATCCCTCAACTCTGAAAACGGCATCAAGGTATCTTTTTCGTTTTTTTTTGCTTTTAGCATCACCCAGGATCAACGACATGGGCGTGCCAGAGAATGCGGTCCCTCTCGCTTGATTAGCGTGAGTCCCCTTACCTCTCATTTTATGGGATGCTTGATTCGCGTGAGTACCCTTGCCTTTCACGTTGTGGGGTGCTTGATTAGCGTGAGTCTCTTTGCCTCTCACGTTGTGGAGTGCTTGATTGAAACCTTCTAATTTAATTAAATAATTATTAACAACTTCCAGCAGAAGCGATTTTCTAAGAATCGAATGCTCCACCCCTAAAATACTGTTTTCTCTATGACCGTTACGCTAACCACTGAGCCAATAAATCAAAATTTTATGATTTCTTTTCACGCTTTACTAGTCATATTTGAAAAAAAACTGACTTAGTTGAGTGTATCTCAAGCATGCAAGGTTAATCTTATAAAAAAAAAGAAATGTATACGTCTTATAAAAGTTTTTGAATCTGATAACACTTATTTTGAATTTATTTTTATTGAAAAAGTAAGCCATGCATACCATTATTTTTAGGTCGTTGAACTGGCATTGTGACAGTTGTGGAAAAATATCAGATCTGCTGTCCAAAGAAAAAATTAGACAACCTATCACAAAAGAAGAACAACATTTAGTGGATACGATTTCTTTAAAGGTTTTATAAAATTTCATTACAATTTATACAAAGTGCTATAAATGTTTTAAAGTTTTAGTTTGAAATTTTACAGGCTGAAGACTCCGTGACACACAACATTTACTCCATGAATACTGATGTACTTGAAGAGAATACATTACGGCATCGTAACAGTAGTGAATCTTCAAGACTAGAACAATTAGAAACGTCTGATACACTACAAGTAGAAGTTGTGTCTTCTAATGATCATCTTTGGAATATTTTAATTACTACCTTAATGTTAGCTATCATTCTTCTTGTTATAAGACGACTATTTCTACTTTGAGAAATGTATTTATAGTGGCATGAAAATAAGCTTTATAAGATTCAAGTTATTAAATAATACTTCTAATATGAAAAACTATAAACATAACTTGTCAAAACTGTTTTTGAGGTTGTAAAAATTGTGAAAAATAGATTCTGTAAATAAATACATTCTAGCTTATGATATTTCTTGATACAAAAATACTTCCAGCAAGGCTCTGTCCCCATTTTTTATGTTCGACTTATTATTTGACCACATAAGTACTATCACAGACGTAGTTGAACTTAGCCAGATAAGCCAGCCCAGCACCCGTTGCACAATTGACGAAACAATAGTACACTTTAAGAAAATGCAATTAATCCAGCCGCTCTTTTAGCAGCGATCGTAACTCAGTGGTTAGGGTAAAGTATTGCAAATCATTAGTTAATCGGTTCTAGCCCTTGCTCTGGCTTAGTGGTAAAGCAACTCACTAATAATTTGGTAAGCTTGATTTATTTAATACGTATAATATAACGTCACTTCCGCCCCATCTACACGAAAATCCTTGAAGCTTATTCCGTTCTGGAAGTTCGTAATCTAGATGGAGATAAAAAAAAAAAAAAAAACAGCAGCTACTCAGCTCCAAGTGGGCATCATGTGGTAAGCAGTCTTGGTTCTACTGCGAATAACAGACACGCCAAGTTAAGTGCAGTCTAATAACAAGAATTCAATTTTTTCTCAATTTACCCCTGCTACACAAATAACCGGCACTTCATATTAATTCTATTTACAATAGTGTTGAACATTCTATGAATTTGCGTCATTAATAATACTTATAAAAACGCTGCCCTAAAATAAGATACTAACAGAAATCCTTAATACTGTAATACCAGATGAACGACCTTATGAAAGTGTCTTATTCACAGTACTAGAAGCTTGAGAGACTTTCACGAGAGAATCTCCCCACTCATTAATCAAGGCGCTAGAGCAGCCAAAACAGAGGCCGCTTCCAACAACATTCCTGAAAATCAATAGCCTGATTCCAAGTTATATCTAGAAATGGTTAGCCGTGAAGCATTCATGCGAGGCCTAACCCATGGATTCAAGGCCAACAAAATTTCAAACATATCAAAAAACGTTTGCCGGTGCTTTACAAGTAGCTTTAGAAGCAAAAGTTGGGAGAATATTATACCCAAATACTTACGCTACTATATACCATCAAAAATCACGTATGTACCTTGCTCAGCAGTTACACCCTACAGCATGATAAAATCTATCAGTACGCCAACAAAACAGACAAGGAAATTTTTCATATTTTCAGCCCAATCGGAACAATATACAATAAGTTGACTATAACGCTCCCAAAATGTACAATCGCGATAATATATCTCATTGTTACAACCCTAATGACACAAAAATTTTCCCGACGACGTTTAATCCAGACGGAAGAATGGTACCACACCCAGTTCTTCAATATCGAAATAACGACTCAAATAATCAATCTGTGAAATTGTTGCAAAAATTACATGAAACGAAATCTTACCAGGCTTTGAACGACTCGTGGAAAAATAATCGAAATTTCGGCCCCACACAACCAACACAACACCAAAACCAATTATTAGACTATGTGGATTGCCCCTTTTACACAAGCTTATTGCAGTGTGTATTTGGTAACTCGTCTACTTGTCTAATGGGAAATTACCCCTGCACTTGCAAAAACGTTCATATACCATAAGAATCGCGAAACGACACTAGCTTTCGCTCAAGGTCGAACTCTTTCAATAATCAGCAAAATTTCAGATGCAATTCTCCTCAACCAGGCCATCCTTTCAACCAGAACAGTTCTCGTCGCCAGACGCAGCGGCGAGCAAAGACCTGAATCGGCGTTTACTGATAAACTAGTTTGTGCAATCGTCTGAGTATCAGTCGCAAAAAACATTGGCAATGCACCGACAGTGAGACTTAAAATTTCACAAATAAATAAAAGTAAAGACACTTTTATCAAAGATACAGGAGCGGACGTCAATGCTATTAAAATATCTGCATTACTACCAAATGTTATCATAAATACTGATACAAAAATTGCTCTTATTGGATTAACTTCTCAAAAAATAATAATATTTGGAACAGTAACGTTAAACATATTTGATAAAAATCACGTTTTGACATCTTAGCACAAGAAATACCTCTCAGTGAGACGGGAATATAAGGGAATTTATTTCTAGCTGAAGAACGAGCCAGGCTTTGTTATGACACAAGAGCCTTGACACTAAAAAGAAGACCTATGAGTCCCATTCCATTTATAGAAAGAATTGTAACGATAAGCGACGAAGAACGTGGACTTAAATTGCTTGATAAAACGACAGAATACATGAGTAATAAAAAAAATTCTCACGAAATCATAGATAATATTAGCATCAATAAAGAAAACTCGGAATCTCTGCCAAATTCTCAACATTTTAAACTTACAATAGTTACATTTCATTAAAATCGTGTATACAAAATACCAGCCAGAATGAGAGTTTCCATAGAGATTCCTGTAACATAAACTAACAGCCACGGGCAAGCATACCTGAGCTTGATAAAAACTACTTCTGGTATATTCATATGTGAAGCAGCAGTAACATATGATAAAGGCCACTGTTTCACGATGGCTGTAAGCACTGGAAAAGAGCCAGTAGAAATTAAGACCCCTCCGTAAAATCTCGTACCTTTTGATCTAGATGATTCAAAGAATTTTCTTGACTCAGATTTTAGTGATGATGTTCCCAACATAACAACAGAGGGAAGAATTAAATATACTATGGAAAAACTTAGCCAGCATTAGCATGATAAGAAAAGCTATAAACAACTTTGCCAAATAGTAAAAGAGTATTCACATCTATTTTACATCAAAGGTGATGCTGCTCCACGTACGTTGTATGTACAACATAATATACCAACAACTGACGATAAACCTGTTTTTACTCAACAATGTAGATGTCCTCCTGCTCTACACAAGGAAGTTAGAGATCATATCGATAAACTATTACAAGAAGGAACCATGAGCTACTCTTCCAGCTCATACAATAGTCCTCTGTGGACCCCAAAAAGCCAGGACCCAACGGAGAAAAGAGACATCGTCTCGTAATAGATTGCAGAAAATTGAACGCTAAAACCATGCCTGATGCTCACCCGTTGCCTAATATTACAAAGATATTAGAGCAAATTGGTGGGTCAAAATTTTTTTCAGTATTCGATCTAGCTAATTGATTTCATCAAATTAAAGTATCTTTTCTTATTCTGGAGATAGAAGATCGCCATAAAGTAGCGTCCAGTACTGCCTACGGACATAACGAGAATACAGGTATGCCATTTAGTTTATGCAATGCACCAGCTACATTTTAAAAACTAATGGATTCCGTATTATTGGGATTGCAAGGCACACAACTATTCTTATTTTTAGATGATATTATGATGTATGCCAAAACTTTGAAAGAACACGAAATAAAAGTAAGAAAGTTATTTAATAGACTATCAGATGCTGGTTTAAAATTACTGCCAGATAAATGCGAATTTTTAACTTCTAAAGTAACATATTCAGGACATAAAATAGGTGGCTATGGAGTAAAACTCGATTTCAAGACATTTGAAGCAGCTAAAAATTTGACAGCACCAAAAAATTGTACAAAAATTCGAGAATTATTAGGACTCACAGGATATTATAGACGATTTATTAAGGATTATGCTGAAGTTGCACAGCCAATTTGCAATTTATTTGTTTGTAAAAGGAATCTACGAGTTTCACCCTTCATTTATAGAAGTTCGGATGTAACATCGAAACTAAATACTTTAAGTATTACATTTTTTGTTGTTAACTTTCTTTTTCTTTTTACATTTTTTTTGTTAAATAAATTTAAAAAGTTCTTTTAACTGTAGAAATAGTAGTTTTTGTATCATGGGCACAAAGTAAAAAAATCTTGCCTGAAGGGCATGGGTTTTGTATGTCGTGCCCAAGGTGCGAATGTTAGTTTGCTTACTTCTTTAGACATTTACGGCACCCTCAGTAACCAGGGAAAGCACAAGGAGTTTCTTGGGTCTGTTGCTTGTTCTGGTGACATGCACCACCAAGTACGAAAATTACTATTTCTGATGCAGAGTTATTATCTTAGAGACTTTGTCATTGTGCATTTTTATGCCCATACAATACTTTTTGAGATTTTAAAGAAGATGGAAGTTTATTGTGTTGCTACATGTGTAAGAGAACATTGGAATGAAATAGAACTAATGTCAAGGGTGACATGTCCGTAGCGCAAGTAATTTTTACAGATAGTTGAAAATTTCTTGTTTAATAATCTATTTAGGTATATATGAGCACAGAATCTTAAGTACATAGACACAGAACATAAATACATATTTTTACCGTCACAGTTATAGCAAACAGCACAGATTTATCAGTAAAATGAAAAAGAAAAGTATCTTCAGTATACCGGCATAACGAAACTTTTAAAAAAAATTAGAAGTATAATACTATAAAAAATGACTCTAATCAAGGAAAATTCTCAAATTATTTAGGCCTTCTCTTGCAGACGCGATTACTGACAACATGCTGCATTAAATACACTGAGTAAGTACCTCGGCTGACCCATGCTGGAATTCCAGTATTTTATGGCTTGTTTTTGTTGTAATTTATCCTGTATAATAGCATATAGCAATAAATACATTATTATATGCTGGCACCATTGAGCGCGTATGAGTGTATGTGTTGAGTATGTTGCTATCTGCTCGTCCGGCATGCGCGTCTCATGCTTGCCTCTTTAGCCTCAGTTAGTCCCAGCTCTACAAGCAATAAAGAGCCTATGTTGTTACACATACAAAGTTCGTGTGCCTCTTATTTCTCACCCACGTTCAAGTCCCACAATCCTAATAACATAAGTTTTAAACAATAATAATGCATAGAAGTTTGAAAGTGCATATGATAAATGGAAATCGGACCAAAAAAGTCGCTCAGAATGCTGCAGGGTTTTGTCTGTCTGAGGAAACAGGTCGTAGAAGTACTTTGACTCCTGCGATTTTAGCATTTTATTGGTCATTACAGCCAAAAACTACTCGCATTTGACACTAGATCACATCTACCTAAGTTTCTCATAGTATTGTTTTTA